CAAGTGCCTTACTAGTAGTAACAAGAAGCTATTAGAATTAAGTTAATGTTAATAGCTTCTTGTTACTACTAGTAAGGCACTTGCTCCTAGAAGCGATGCACTTGTTACTAGTAGCTTCTTGTTACCGTAGGATCCGGACACGTTCACAAACAAGAAGCTATTAGAAACAATAAGCTACTAGGAACAAGTGCATCGCTTCTAGTAACAAGTGCCTTACTAGTAGTAACAAAAAGCTATTCGAATTAAGTTAAACATTAAACTAAAATCCTGGCTTCTTGTTACTACTAGTAAGGCACTTGTTACTACTAGCGATGCACTTGTTACTAGTAGCTTCTTGTTACCGTAGGATCCGGACACGTTCACAAAGCTAGTAAGGCACTTGTTTCTAATAGCTTTTTGTTACTAGTAGTAAGGCACCTGTTGCTAGTTGCGTGGCACCTGTTACTACTAGCTTAAAGTTCCTCTTCATCTAAGAGGAAAACAATGGCATCCACGATCTCGTTGTCCTGCAAGGATAAAACTCATCAGGCCCGCCCATTGAGGCCCACAGAACACTGGCTAGCGGCGGCTCCTCTGCTGATACCACAGCCACACAGCATTGCTCACATAGTTTGACCAAGTTCTGGCGGACTTCAGCCTGGCCAGCAAGAGAGCCACTTTGACTTTGATGAAGCGTTCTAGGCCGGTTCAACACAAAACATGTTCTACACGATGTATTTTGATCCTTTCTTTACGACACTGCGGCTGCGTCTTTGATCAAGGGATGCCATGATTGAACGCCTGCAAAAATTGTCTTGGCAAGAGACCCCAAACAGCGTCAAGTAGAAAAACAAGGTTCTCGGTTCCCTTGCCGCCCGACCACTCATCTTTTCGAGATTTGATACCTTTTTTGGGGGGGGACAATAACGAACGATGTTGATGTTTTAGTTGACATGTGCAAACGATGTTGACGTTATGGTTGACATGTACAAACGATGTTGATGTTTTGGCTGACATGTACAAACGATGTTGAAGTTTTGGTTGACATGTACAAACGATGTTTATGTTTATGTTTACGTTGTGTTAATTCATTTGTCTTGTTTCTTTGTTTGTGACCACCGCTACTTGGACGACTTGTTGGATCTGGGCACTCGCTGGTCGACTGACTTTTGGGTTGCTTTGTCTTTGCACATAGCGCTAGATTCACATCGGTGTTTGGATTTCCAGTGTTTAGAAGAGTTTTCAGACTCGTCGAAAGATTGTTGGGATCACATTTGGTTACGTTATCACAAGGGTTCGATTCCACCATCAATCACGGTAGCATGTGTTGACACTTGCGCGGATGTCAGCTCCGAAAAAGTACGGGTCGCGTAAACGCACGAAAAACTTGATTCTCGCTGTGGCGAGATACACGAATCAAGACCGGATTACTGTAAATGTCAATCAGAATAAGGGTCTGCAAACCCATGGATTTCAAAACACTGCGAGGGTTACCAAATCTCACGCACTGGGTCAAAAAACATGAGCAGCCCTTGCACGGGCGGCGAGAAAGCCGTGAACCAAAAACGGTGGGTACTGTAAGCGAACTTCCGCACTCTAGAGCATACGCACACACACACACGAGAGCACACATGTGTGAAAAAACAGATTTGACGCATAAAACAGCACACAGGAACACATACAGTATTTGCACTTCGAGGTTCACAAAGTGCTGCGTCTGCAACGAAATATGCACTTCGAGAATCAGAGCGCCGGCTACGAAATCTGCACTTCGACGATCACTCAGTGCTGCGCTTGCTGCCACTTGCACTTCGAGATTCGCAGAGTGCTGTGCCTGCCAGGAAATGTGCAGCCAAAGTGCTACGCCTGGCACAAAAACTACGCAGCCTGCCACGAAGTGCACTTCCAAAATTTCCAAAGAACAGTTCACGATAGTTCAAGATGCCGAAAGCGAAGCTTTGCAAGGTACTTCTCCTCTGGAACCATATGTCCATAGTTCCTGAATGTTCCTGATTCCCTGCACCTGCCACGAAATCAGAGCACGCCAAGGCCACCGCCAAGTCCAACGGGCTCCGCCTGCCACAAAACCTGCACATCAAAGTACGGCGGCTCCGATCTCCTGCATCTGCCAGTCGACTTCAGTCCACCCAAACATAAGGATTCCTTTGCGCCTGCCACGAAAAGCCACCACCACACCAAGAGCGCAGTCGAGGAAAGCACTTGCTCGGGCCCACCAGTATGTGTAAGCCTGCGCAGTCAAAATGCACTTCCAAGATCTTGAGAGGCATAATGTGCTGCAACTGGCAGTGAAATAGCCTGATGTGAGCACCCACCTTAACCACTACCATAAGAACCCTTTGTGTGACCACACTGTTGGGGAACAAAAGACAAAACTCAAAACCAGTACAGTATATAGAAGATAGTGGAAGACTGGATAGTCAAGGCTCAAATTTGTGTTTTTTGTGTTCCCCGGAAGATGTCAAAGACAAAGACTCTATGCTACACCATCTTTGGTTCCAATATATCCACCTTCACTTCAATGCTCTCAGCCTTGGCTTCACATTGGAGGAGTTTCATGTAGAGCTCCTGCGCCCAGGCTGGGTCGTTGGAAAGGCGCGGCTGGCTGGAAGGTAACAGAACCACCATGCCTCTTCGTCCGGCTCCAAAGGTGCCGGAAGCACCTCTGCCACCTCAGCTGTGCTTGGAACCGGAGCCGAACATGGCTGGGACCTTCGTCCCAAAACCTACTTGAAGGCAAACCCATGGCACCGATCATTTCGAGCTTTATGATGGAGGTTCGGGTGGCGCCAACCCATCAGACTGTCATGGAGTGTACGACGTGCATGAGCTCTTTTTCAGCGAACGTCCCACTTGCGCTATTGACAAACAAACATCCTGTGGCCCCATGCAATATGGTTCATGGGAGACACATGTGCGCCAAGGAGATCTAACATGTACACTAGTTTGTCACATCGGATGAGCCTTGACTGACAGCGATAATGCTAGGATTTTTTACGAAGCTTAGCAGCAAATAGCAACAGTACAACATCCAAACAATGTGAGATGTAGTGAGATCCATCTGTGCCAGGAAATGCCGGTTCCTGCTTCCACTCTGGTAGCTAACTCGCAGTCGATCCAAGGCACTGGTAGCTCTAAGTGTGCCAATTTGTAATCATTCACCAAAGCTTGCTGGACATCCTGATTGCCGCAAATCACACGGTTCACACACCGAAAATATCGTTTCACCAATCATTCAACGCTTTATTCCACGTCATAAACAAACAGCGGCTTAGGCCAACCGATCACGTAAATCTGTGGCAATCTCTCATTCAACATTTCCGTGTTTACTTCTGTACTGCTTGGACAACCTTGAGGCCAGCGGGAGGGGGGTCGAAACCAGCCAAAGCGATAAGTTCATCTCCGCTGATCAAAATCAAAAATCCTGTCTTCCATACGGTTCGGTGGTCCTCATTTCGCTCTATGGAAGAGTCGGACGCTCCTGGGTTTGCCTGGCCAGTTATCTTCTTTGAAAGGAGGAAACGAAAAAGCTTCTTCTCGATTTGAGATGAACTCCTTGATGCTCTGCGTCTTGCTCCCTCATCACCCTCACCATCCCTCACCACTTTCGAAAGAAATGACTACCACGGCCTGAAAATGCCAATCACCCAGGGCGAGCACATGAGGCATAGTGCCACTTTCACCTGCGTGGATTAAAAGGGGAAAATGAATTCCCAACGGGGGGGAAATGGATAGAAGTTTCAAAAATCCTCCACCCCAAATGGGAGGTCTACATTGCAAATTCTAAGCTTTTCAAGAGCAATTTCAGGCGGCCCAATTGCGAATATTATACACCACTATTAAAGGTTTGCCAAGCCTGTGGAAGGCTTGGCAGAAGGGCGCAAAAGATGCACTGGTATTCCAATCTGCGGCAAAACCTGGAGCATATCTGGAATTTGATCAATCAATCTGATATCATACAGTACGAGTAACATGTACGGTATACACACAATACACTTGACGTAATTAAAGGAAACATAGAATCTCAAAAACAGTTCATATCCAAGAGCACGATCAGGAAATTCAAAGTTTCTGGGAACGTGGCCACTACTCCTTCGACTGAGTACTCCAAGTCCGCCTGCCCAAATGAAGGATCAAACCACTTGGCACAGATTCGAAATAGTTGCAAATGCCCAGGGGTACGTAGCTCATGAGTCTCTTTTATGTCTACAGTCTACATCACTCTACGTCTGGTTTCCCAAACTGGCCAGGTACGGTATGGTATTTGCACGGATTCACCCATTGACAACAACTAACTGACATGAAACGATGGCTCTTCTTAGCAGCCTACTAAAAATGTGAACATATGCATGCGGGCATGCCTGGAAGAGCTTGTGGCCAACTAGTCGCAAGCAAAACCTGAGTAGCCATCTTTGATCCTAAACTGTCTGGCCGCAAAGCTTGCTAACCTCTCTAACCTTTCAACCATATCTCCCGCTCAAGCCAGCCGCCAAGAGAACCAGCACGGAGGGCCGACGAAGCTGGTTTTACTATCTATACTTATACCCAGAGAAAAAATACACACAAAACATGTGGAGACGGTCCAGTTCTATTGAAAATCATTTTACCAGCGTTGCGCAATTTGTGAACCCATCTCTCCTAAGATATGTGCTTTCGCCAGCTAAGTTTTCCACCGCAAGTAGTCCTGCGAGGCTCACTTTAATGCACGATGCTAATATGAAGGCACGCACTGTAATCAACCTTCGTGTGCACAACCATTGAGAGAAGCAAACTCAGTTGGTTCCAAAATGACGCTGTCTACCTAAAGAAATTCTCAGACTAAAGAATTCGTAAGAACTGGTGATTGCCCTTTGACAAAGTCCAAACAGCAAAACGACACCTGTTACCTGTTACGCTTCTACAGCATTTCCCGCCAATAGGGTCATGGAAAGATGAATCAGTACGTGTGCTTGTCGTTGTTTGACTCATGCTATTTTCCACTAGGCCAGACGATTCCAATCCAATGTCTGAACACAAGAGCATTTGCCAGGCTGCGCTCACCTGAAACTCACGTGACCATGTGGCCGAGGACCAGCAGCGGGAAGGTATCGGGCATCGCTCATAACACACGTCAAACACATTGACTGCAACACCAGAAAAAAGGGCAAGCGCCGCATGTGCGCTGCAACCCTTTTTCAACCGCCGTGGAGCAGGGCTGTGCGAAGAACATGACTCTTGAGGCGGCAAGCAGGCCCGCAGCTTGCATACAAAGCAACTTCACACCTAATTACAGTATACGATATCCTTTACATATGCTTTTGTCTTTTCATCGTGCCTTCGTACCATCGCAACTGAAGCCACAAAACAAGAACAAAGAACAGCAATGGGGAACAGCACAATTCGACAATTTGCATGTAGCAAAATGATGCTTCCCTAGGCAATTAAGAGCGCCTGAAAAAACTGGGATGGACACCCTCTTTCACAGCAAACCAAATGGAAGCGATAGGTTCGACAGGTGTTTGTTTGTGCAAACATGTACAGTACACATACCAAAAATCATCAAAACATAACAAACATACTGTATCACAATATATACATAAAGTCACCTGAGAAGGGAAGGGGCGAAAGCCGGCCTCCGTAAGAAAACATCATATATGGATATGGGGGGTGAACTCGAGAGCGCACCGGGGCCGCTGTCAGGCATGAGGAAATAGAAGGCAAAGGTGGGAAGTCGCAGTACGGGCCGACATGACAGGCTCTCATTCACAGGTGCAGGGGTGGGGTGCCCCTTTTCTTTTGGGTCAACGGGCGTTTTCCAGATAGAAAAATAATTGCACCCTTGCCTGCTGTTTGTGTGTCTTGTCTTGTAGATGGACCCATAAAGTCGGCGTGCTGCTAAGAGTCGACCGGGGAAAGTTTACTGCCAAGATCATGTGATTGTTTAACTTCGGGGAAAGATTACCGTTGTTATGGGGGGAAGTCGACATTGCAGTCTACTGCTGTTGGAAATAGAAAACAAAATACACAGGTTGGGGGGGTGCTTTTTCCTTTGGTTCAAGGGCGTTTTCAAGGTGAAAAAGGGCACCCCTAAGGAACTGAGGGGCGTTTGCCTGCTGTTTGTTACTCTTCTCCTGTCTCTTCACCACAAAACAAGGGGCACCAAGCTTGCTCAACGGACCATCGCCTTGCTTGTCACGGACTGCATTCTGTTCTCTCCCCTGTCCTCAATGGATAACATCCTTTCTGACGTTCCCTCCCACTCTGATTAGCCCCGAGAAAGTGAGATTGAGAGGCGCACATGTTACTTTCCTGCTGTATTTCCGACCTCAATTTTCCTGTCACATTGTCCCCTTCCCTCTCCTATCCTCTAGAGGTCACGTTCTCCCTACTCCTCTATACCCACAAGAAGACAGAGCGCTGGGCGACGCACTTCTCGCTTCCTGGTGAGCTCGACACCTCTTTTGCTATCACGTCCTCCCCCGCTATGCTCCTCCACATGAACTCCCACCCCATATGGGGTGCCCTTCCACGTCTGGTTAATATGCATCTTCACCATTCAAGCAGGGCAATGCCAAGCAACTCAACTGCCCTCTGCATTCTGTTCCCTCTCCTGTCCTCGACGGGTCACATCGTTTCTCAGTCCCTTCCACTCTTATTAGCCACAAGAAAACAGAGTGTTGGGAGACACGCATCTCACTTTCCAAAGGAGTTCCAACCACTTTTCATGTCCGGCCCGTTGTCCCCCCTTTCCTGTCCTCGATGCAACCCCCTAATACTCACTTCGTTCGCCCATCGACAACTCCGGCCTAGCCTATCGGCCTGCTTCGTTACAAACACATATATATATAGTATATATACACACATTTCGGCAAACAAACACCTACCGTTTGGGAATGTTTGGGATGGGAGGGCAAAGCAGCCCATGTTGGGGAACGGATGACGCCCTTGGCTGGACCAGTCCTCTGCTCCAAGGAAACCACCAGCCACCAGCAGCAAGCGAGCCAGGCTGCCCATAGCCATCAAGGGTTCAGCTTGCACCTGAGATATACTGTATAGTATTGTATAGGTAAGTGCAAGATAAATCACATATCTCAGGCGAATGCCCCCACATTTCTCCAGTGACGAAAAACAACTCTTCATGAGTCAAGAAGATCAGAAATCATCCATCATGTCAATCACCTTGATTTTCAGTCTCCAGAACAACTTCTTGCCCTGGTTCTCTGAGAGGTGTGCCACATATTGCCCTCCGCACATCAAATCTGTTCGCCCTATTTCTGGCTCTTGGCCGACCTGCCAAGAAAGGTCAAGGGGCCGACTGCAAGACCACACAAGACTTCATCGATCCACACCCATACGAAATATGACAAACTGCAAGTCACCAAACTGAAGGTTGGCATGCTGCATGCTTGTTAAGCATGCTGGCTGCACTGATTGAGAGTGGCACAAAAGGCAAAAGGGCTCGGTGAGGACACGGAGACTCACATCTTGTCTCTCACGGTAGACGTGAACGGAGAACTTTTCCTCTTCCTCCACCACCTGAAACATATCCAAAACATCTCGTAGAAACAACATTACACAACCTGATTTTGTGTTTGATGCAAAACTCAAGCTACTGTAATACCTTGCAGCGAGTGCTCCAATATGCTCCAATAGTCTCGAGTATTGATGCGGAGGAGTGCTTGATTACATTTGATGACTCTTGTCAATCCTGCTATATACTTTGTGTTATACATTTGGTGACATTTGAGAACCCAAAAATGCTAAAGACCTGGCTTCCCCATGCTTCGCCTGAAGGAGCATCGCTGCGACGTCTTTGGGCATGCCATTCTGGAATGTCCTTTCACGCAGGAGCTTTTGTGGCACCTGGAGCCAAGTCGTTCGCGCCATGGTTCAAGTTTGGTGGTCGTCTTTGGTGATCGTCCAGTGTTACACTGTATCAATGCGAGGCAGTCAAGTACAAGAAAGACCTACTTCTCGTGATATATTTCACCAAGTTCCTGCAGAAAGTAAGCACAGGTTCTGGATGCAAAATGATGCAAACACTTAGTCATGTTCATCATTATCTTCAGATGATAACTCCTATCCCTTCTGATGACCCTACAAACTCAAAATCCCTGGAGCCTCCAAACGAATCAGCTCATTCGGTGTGCACAAACGCAGCTCCTCTTCTGCATTGGCCTGGGCAACATATGTCCGTCAGCTCTTGAGAGAGCAAAGGTCAAGCAACTTGACAAACAAATGCCAGCAAGTTGGCCTTTAAGAAGTTAGACGTTAGTACTATAATAAAATGTTGTTCGTCTTCGTTGTAATTTTCGACAACTGTCTTTTTCAACAGCGGACGGATTTGATGGGAGATTCATTCGAGAAGCCAAAACGTGGCTTGGCTCCGTTGGCTCTTGAGAAATGGCATCGGACCACTTTGAGAGAATCTTGGCCTGGCACCGGCAGAAGCGGCGGCACTGAAACGCAGCCCAAACAAGAAGCTACTAGTAGCTCCTGGCATTACTACTAGGAACAAGAAGCTACTAGTAGCAAAGGGCATTACCACTAGTAGCAAAGACGCTACACCTCCCCACGATCTACTTTCTGCTGTCAAAACATGGGGTGCCACCGCTGCCAGCCGAATGTGTTGTGGTCTAGGCCTGAGGTTCCAAGAAAAATCACTCGTAGTCACTAGTCTAGGCTGGTAAGAAATATCGACTGCTGAAAACTGCTAGTCCACTCATGCCTACTCACTCTGAAGAAACAACTTTGATCTGTAACCTTTGACGTACCCCGAAAGTGGCTAAGCTTTCTGCGGTTGGTGCAGCAGCTCTGGAGTTGCAGCTAAGTGCGGCAGCCTGAGTCAAGTTAAGCATCCATGAAGCAAAAAGCCAAAGATTGTCCACAAGGAAAGTCAGTGTTGGTAAAATGAGCAAGAAGCACTCCACAGGCCGCCACATTTTGAACACCCCGTGTCTATGAAGCTTCTCCACTGCTTTCCCACCAGCCTGCGCTGAAGCTGCTTGGAAGGAACCAACTTCATGCGAGTGAAAAGAGGGGAGAAAGAATGTGGCGTTGCCTCGCATAGGCAGCTAGCTAACCGCAAGCCCAGGTCCATTGATGCGGAGTCAAAAGACATCAGCCTGGGCAAAGCATGTCAGATGTTAGAGATGGCAAGAGTAATGTGAATCTGAACACCACCGCAAGTCCTGATTTGGCAGTGCGGCAAAGCAAACTACATGGGGTGCTGCAGGCAAGTTTGAATGCGTGGAAGCATGTGGAAGGTCATTGTATCATGGTCAGGTAAAGAATATAGGATGCGGCCAAAATGTGTTTGGAAGTTGGCATGATATAGGATGACCAAACATGTTTGGATTCATTATCATGACCAAACGCTCCCGTGCCATGAGAGGATGTGTGGTAGTTGGCCAAAACGCTCCCATGCCTTTGGTCAACTGAGGATGCCACAAGCTGCGGCACAGCTGCACCAAGCTCTCCAACGATTCGCAGGGCAGCGGAGCAGCATGTTCACAGCCGAGTACAAGCACCTGGACAACGCGGAAACGCTCCCTTCAAATCCCTTCAATGGCTTGCAAATGATAGCCCATTTCTCTCGTCTACACGAAAGATCGGGAAGACCTTGAAAACGGATGTGTTTCTGAGAAAGCCAATCTTGGGAGAGTAAAGCGTTCTATGATGGTTTTATTAATGGATGCTGGCGTCGTATGTATATATATAATTGTATAATGTATAGACATATGACGAGCCCAAATGCGAAGTCCATCGATTCAAAGAGGAAATTGAGGAATCACGCAGGCGAAATGCCAACAAATGCATAGATATTCTCGGGCAAACAAGCAGTTGATCACGTGCAACCTCATGTGTGACTAAATCGTGCAAAGGAATCTGTACGACAACGCATGTATAAGCTAGAGTTTTTAAGCAAAAGCAGCAACAAGACAGACCATAAATCATGGATGATCCTTGCGCCTATATACTTGATGTTTGGCAACTTTGATTGGGGCCAGCGATGGACACTGAACAATTTTTTCTATTTCCACCTTCCACCGAACTGAAGGGGATCGCCGAGTGGGCCGAAGTGGGAACATGACACGTACGTACGAATACAGTAAAGGTCTTATCATGACTTTTCTGATTTCGGACTTTTGAATCGGTGTTCGATTCCCGGTCGGAATAAGAGAGAACCGGAGATCGATCCGTCAAAATTGCGCTGCTCCCCGCAACTCCCAAACGATATGGAGGATGAGAGAGCAGTGATCTTGGGGCGGTTGAAGTCGATCCCTCGCTATTTTGATCTGAGGTTGACCCGGTTGACTCTGCCATCAGCAGCAGGATGTGGGCACCACTAGGACTAGAACATGCATGACAGGGACATATATTTAATTATATTTAATTATTATAGAATTGTCAAATATCCTCACTGACTTTGCTTAGTCAGCCAGCTCAGCCACTCAATAAAAGAGCGCCCCTGCAAAGCGTATGGGATCGTATGGGCTTAACTTTATGATTCGATGAGGCTCTTCAATGAGATTGGAAGCTTTAAACCTGAAGGGCAGAACAGCTGGCAACGATTCGGCAACGATCACGATGGACACATATGAAATGCCTAAGCCACTTGCCTGCACGAGCTGAGCATCCAGATTACGCTGGCTCTGCAACGAAGGTAGCATTTTGCTTGCCTCAAAGGCATAGGCATAGAATTCATCCGTCAATGCCAATGCTTTCTAAGAAAAATAGAATCAGTTCAGTTCAGTACAGTATATAGAAACCTCACCTGTGGTTTCCAAGGAATATCAAGCAACCAAAACCGATGGGACCAATCCTGTTGTTTGATCTCCAGCCACTTTACCGCACACACTTCTGCCCGACCGCTACCCTTCTCAAGCAACGGAACGTTCAGGACCCAAGGCTAGCCGCCAAAACCGAACATCGTGGCCTGCGTTCGTCACTGTTTCGTCCGACTTTTCCTTCCAGGGCGCGAGTGGCAACAAGGTCTGCACCGCCAGGGACCGGCGCAGCTTTCGCAGGGGCAACGGTTTCTGCAGCACCGCTTCTTCTCGAGGGACCTAGTAGGAATATGGTCAAGAAAACACACCAGCACTCCCTCTTTGAGGCTATCTTTGGACCACGCCCTTCCCACACGCATGTTCAGTCAGAGAATGTTCTTGTTGCAGCACGTTTGCCGCATCCATGTGTAAAAAGGAAATCCATGACAAGAAAGCACAACAACAACGACAACAACAACAACACCAACAACCACACCAACAGCAGCAGCAGCAACAAGAAGGCAGAAGAAGAGACCAAAAACTTTGCAAAATCTCATCAGACTTTGTGCCCTTAAGGACCCGTAAAGCAAAGTTAAATTACACCAGCCAAACTCCTGGTTTTAAAGAAACTCCTTGACCATTGTGCCTGCCACTGAGCCCACGACCAAGTAGCCCAGCAAACTCTTCGCTGCATCTGGAAGCTTATGCTTTGGAACCTTGGGAGACCAGCCAGCAGAATAAGTTAAGGGTGCAGAACTGGAGCTCCATCATACGACAAGCATGTAGTACTTGCAGTATGTCCAATGTACTTACCTGAGAAAGGAGAGGACGAAAGCCAGCGAGAGACCAATATGGTAGTGCAAGACTGGGAGGAAAAAATAGCGGAGCACTTATTGTTGAATGCCTATAGCTTTCGTGGAACTTGTATCAATGTGGAGTAGATCAAGATCGGAGCACAGCATGAAGCGTTGAGTGTTTTAGGCTTTCTCGATTTTCCTGGCGCGGTGCTCTCTGGAGCGTCCCTGTTTGGTGGTCTACTTGAGAATCCGTGTAAAAATAAACGTCAGTGAAGACCAGGAGAAGGATGCCTGAAAGGTGGTTTTTGGTTGTTTTGAAATGTGTTTCATGCATCGTGCACCAATGCGAAGCTCGATAAAGAGCAGGGCTGGGAGAAAAAAAAGGAGAGCACTCATTCTTGAATGGTTGTAGTTTTCGTGGAGCTGGTATCACTGCGACGTAGATGAAGATCGGAGCGCAGCATGAAGTGTTGAATGTTTTTAGTAATCTTGATTTGCTTGGTGCGGCGCCTTCTGGAGCGTCCTTTGTTGGTGATTTGAAAATCCGTGCAAAAATAAACGTCAGTGAACACCAGGAGTGATGCCCGAAATGGTTTTTGTGTTGAAATATGTTTCGGGTATCGTGCATCAAAGCAGGGGTGGGAGGAAAAAATAGCAGAGCACCTATTATAGTCGAAAGCTTGTATAGGTTCGTGGGGCCGGTATCACTGCGACTGAGATCAACATCGGAGCACAGCATGAAGTGTTGAACGCTTGCAGCTTTCTTGCTTCTCCTCTTGCCGCGCTCTTATCCCCAAGCCTCTACCTCGCCCAACTGGACATGCTCACATCGTTCGCCCAAGAGCGTTCACTCTTTGTTGCTTGGTCCTTCTTGGTATGATCAGAGCTACACAGTCCCTATGCCCTGCTCAGGACTAGAAACATTGTCTCCAGACCCCTTCGTGATGCTGATGATGTACTACTCGTTGTCCATTGCATCACTCGCATCACCAAACCCCATGTTCACTGCTTTTCTGACCCTCGCTTGGAGCGCTCTCCCCCAGCAAGCTCCGGGTTCACCCTCTCCCACCCCCTTAACTCACTTCGTTCGCTCTAAGAGCTCAAGCCCAGCCTATCGGCTGGCTTTCGTATATATATATATATGTTTCTCATTTTGTTCAATTGTTTCCTTTTCTTGATCTCAATGTCTGCAGCCAAGCTTCTTCAATGTCCGCAGGGTCGCAGCCGTAGTCCAAGAGCACCCGGACCACCTGATGCCAGTTGGAAGGGTACTGACCGCTGCAGTGCAACAGTGTAATGGATTGATGTTGTTTGCCAGACAACCATTGGTTCCTTCATGATTCAATATGATTCATCTGCAAGCAGATCGCCCCATTTCTACACAAGAGATAATCAACGAAGACCCCGCCAAGAAGGACCAAACAGCAAAGGCCAGCAGGGGAAAGATAAGGCTTTCCCCTAACAGTGATTGCTTGAGAGAAGACTTCAGGGGCTAGGATGAGGCTCTTGGTGGTGCATCTTCATACTTCTTCAGTTCCTCTAAAGTCACATCACACCAATGTGTCAAACTTCTTCCTCATCTTGCAGAACATAATATGTGGAAACAGAACTGCCTCAACAGTCACGACCGCTGTTTCCATGACGAAACAAGAGCAGGCTATAATAGGCTATATTACATTTTTCATGCAAGAATCGGCCCAAACCCACGAAATCCCCGTATATTTTGTGTTCCTCTAAAGACTCTGGGTCGCCTGGATCCCAAGTTTCTGGTCACTCCCAAGCGAGCCGAGCCCATCAGCTTGATGCCGTCAGAAGGGTGGACCGTTGAGCAAAATCTCACAATGACTCACAACTCGGTTGCCAAGCACTTCTTCCCGACCGAGACCTAAAACCCAAACAGATCGGGAGGCTTCCATAGGCTCCCCAACTGATTTTTTACAAATTTGACCAGCCCTTGATTTCACTTAGATTTCACTCTAAACGTGGAATTGCACGTTCTACGGCACGTCCTTGTCGTTCACATCTTTCTTGGTCTTGGAGAACGTTCCCCGCCCTTATTTTTCACCGAAAGAACACTGAACACAAAGACCGGCCTCCAATCTTCCGCATCGCGCGGCAATCGCCAAGGGAGGTCCCAAAGGTCCCTTCGAGGAGCGAGGACCTCGCACCGGAGCAGCATCCGAGAGGAACATCAGCCGACAAGAAAGAGGACATCGCAATGGAGATGTTGATGGTTCAGTCCAAAGATCTCAACATCTCATCAAGCCATCAACGTCCATTAAAAAAACCCTTGACCTGGACATCTCCGTGCGTCAGAGTTCTTCCGCACGGGGCTCCATGTTCTCTTCCGTTTGGGCACCCGGCAACCCCTTTCGAGCAGAAGCTCCACCATCTCTTGAGAACACTGATGTTCCACGGCCTCAAGGGCCGAAGAGCATGAAAGCTGCAGGACAATGCTTTTGGAAGCAAAACAGCAGAGATCCGGATTCGCACATGCTCAACTAATTGCAAACAGCCGTCAAGACAAGAGAACATATCACATCATCTATCAACTACTGTATCTGTCCCAATCCGTCTTTTGGACAAATCACCGCCACAACATGCAATAAGCACTCGGCCACAGCAAGGACGCTGTTGCCATGTCTATCAGCGGCAGTCAAATCTGCCCTGTCCTTGGAGAAACTCGATTGCAATTCTGATTCCCTTGTCATCCCTTTTCAGCTTTGGCAAGGCGTGAAACAAAGCAAACTAACTGTTTGTGCACCGAGGTCAAAGCCATAAGTACCCGCTTAGCCAAAAAGAGGTCGTTGCGCGGCAACGCGTGTTTCATGAGCCAGTCCTTGATCAATGCAGTGTACAATCTCAGACTTCCCAGCATATGGTGATAGAGAATGAAGATTGAAGGTAATAGGAAACTGCCACAGGACCTAAGAAAACCAAACCGGTCCACCGGGCCGGAACAAAGGCATTGTCTATGGCGCCTGGCCTGTGTCAGCACTATGGGAGAAGGCAGATTGGCCCTCTTCGGCAAGGGAACCTGGTAAAACGACACCAGAAGCTCACTCAGCTCATGCGGACAAAGCTGCAAGGGTCTTATGTCAATCATGGTCCTTTGTGTCCTTTAGCGACACTAGAGAATTCTGTACGAGATTTCAAGATTTTCTTGTCGCTGGTGGAACCACTGCTGGAAAGATAGAATTAAGCCTCCCACACATGCTGGCAGTGCTTCAGGAAGTGTCAAGGTAGTGATGCGGTCCTGGCCATCAAATACGGTGGCTATAAGTGTTGTCACGTGGTTGTAAGTTTTGTCTTTCACGACAACAATGATTTTGATGTCTTTCAGGTTTGGTTTCATCTTCAACAAAGAACCCAGCACTGTCAGATCTTGCAATAATGTCTCTCATCCCCGTAGACTGCTGATCAAGGACACATTAGAGGAGCTGCGCTCCAAACCCAACCTTATTGTGGCCAATCTGGTTTTGGTCACTGCTCGGGCTCAATCCTCAAGCTCATGAGTATCCCAGGCATCATCCATACTTAGCACAGATGCTGCCCAGCTGGACAAGTCTCTCAAGACTTCTACTTCGCCATGGTTTTGACTCAAGAGGCGGATGGTTGGAGCCAAACCTCACGGAGTTTTGCCGCAAGTCTTGCCGCAAGTCAGCTAGCGTCAAGCTACAGTGGGGTGTGACATTGGGAACACGTTTCAAAGAACCGCCCTATGTCAACTCTGAAGTCGCTCAGCTCTGAGTATACCTAAAGCCTTTGGTATGGTCGTTGTCTCAGCTTTGGAGCTGCCTAAGAGCTACAGCATTCTGGGTACAACTTCGACAGGGCGAGTGTCGCATTGAGTGAGTAGGCGGGCCGACTGAACAATATCAAACTGAAAAAAAAAAGCAAATTAATGTAGTTTGCTATTAAAAACACCTTAAAGCCATAAAGAACCGGACAAATTGTCCAATTGCCTGCTGAGAAGCTTTTGAAAGAGAGCATCAACAGCATTCCACCGTGCTGTCGCGGTCGAATGCGTTCTTGCCACTGTCCCAGTTCGTAGACTTTGCCTTTGTATTTGGGCAAACGCGGCCGACCATTTAACGTTTTGAGAGATCTTTTGGCATGTGACCATTGCACCCTTTCTATCCCTTTCTGCTTTTGAAGCATTGCAAGGCCCCCACTAGGTGACCAAATTGATCATATTCGGTGGACAAACATGCACTGCTGCACGTCTCGTTTGCCGAAAAGTGCCAACAGCATCCAAAAGCAAGTTCGGGTGACGCAACCATCGATCTCCACCTTCAGTTCGTTTCGATGAAAGGAACTCGTCGCCCTCCAGAGCCAAGAAAAGGAGTTGCAAGCAACGTACTGCAAAGTGGTCCTCATGCAAGGTGCTCACCTTGGAAAAGCGGTGGAAGCAGTTCTTGGTACAACAGTTCCATTTTGGCTCTAAAGGCTCTTTGTCTTTCACAACCCCAGCCTGTTCAACACGGCCACAGCTGATGCCCGCGAAGCAATAGGAATCATAACTCATAACCATCCATATCCCCGCGTGGTGAAAAAAACATGAAAAAAATATCAGTAAGCACGCGCGTATACCGGCGTTGTGGTGACCAGTGGCAACACACCTGAAATGTAGACACTTCCGGCTCTTTTTTAAAGATTTGGTCTCGTATATTAAGGTTGCCGGTAAGCCTGGGAGTGAGGTCACGACAGTCACATTGCAGTTCAACAAATTCTGAATCGACAGCATGCCTGATTGGAGCGGCTCGTCTACCGCTTTGCTTGAAACTTCACCACACAATGAAACATGTGGGTGTGCGGAATGGTTTTGTCGATGCACCTGGTCTTGCAAGTCTGTCAGGGCTGACTCTGCTTGTGAAAGCCCAGACCATCGTGCACACAAAGCACCAAGCACCGCTGAAGACAACCTCATGCTTGACCGCGAAGGTCACAGGCTGTGTCAGCTTGTGTACATGAAAGCGTGTGTAGCGGGGAGCTCAAGCTTTCCATATGCCGGATGCCTTCATTTCCTCCAGTTCCGCCTGCAAACGTTTTGGGATATTCGTAGATGTACGAGTAAAGAGAATACCAAGGCTGCCAAATGATGCTTGGCTGCTTTGATCAGTTGACAGGCTTTGAACACATGAAACATGGCCTCTTAAAAACCCGACAGCTAGCTGTCTTCGTGGCTCAGGTATCATGCTGGGCTTTGTCAATTGTTCATCTTTGTAATGTGTCATGCATAATAAAGTTAAAAGAACATATATATATAATATATATATATATTACAATATCATATATTAAAGCATATTGCAAAGCTATAAAGTCTGTGTCATTCTTCTGAAAATCCAAAATGAAGTGAGAGCAATGGACAATGTGCGCAATAGAAAGGTCCAGTAGGCTGCAATCCGGCAAGGTACATTTGTTCGTTCTTGGTTTGAGCATCATCTGCCCTTTTGCCACAGCTGCAGGAGAAGGCATGGCGCTCAAAGCCTGGCAAGAACTGCCATGTCATCTGTCCGCAGCTCGAGCAGCCCAGTGTCCGTGCAGGATCTGCGTATGCTGCTTCAAAGCTACAGCGGCAACACAGACAAATAAAGCCTGAAATACGAGGTGATGGTACGACAGGTAGCAGGCTTCCCAGAATGTTGCCTACTTTAGACTCAATTCATGTGACACTTGCCAAGGACATCACGTGCTTCAACAGGATTTTGCCTTCCCAAGTGCCTTTGAGGTACCACAACATTCTGCGTCTCAAGGACATTGGTGCCAAGGTCGTTTGAAGCTTCATATACGAAACTCCCAGGATGTCCCCAGCTTTGATTGGACGACAGGCTCGGAAGTGCCCTTCAAAGTCACCATCGAGGCCACGAACTGATGAATAAACCACGTTTGGTAAGCAGGAATGATTGATCATGGTGCCCCATTTCAACAAACCGCTGGTGTTCCCCGCCACTTTGCATGGATGACTATTCACACAGAATAGCCTTAGAAGCCGAGCGAGTGAAGCAAAGTCCAAGTCATCCAGCCAGGGGAGTTGCTGCTCCACCAGCCATTCAGCCACCCGGGAAGTGGATTGGAAGGTCTCAGAACATGGATGCATGGAATCTTGCATAGCAAGCACTTCTTGTTGCACCTCCACTTCGGAATTCATGAATTCGAACAAAAGCTTCAGGTGCTCGTTGTCAAAAATCACGGCGCGTGGAAAGCCTTCCTGAAAAGGAGCGTGGCAGCACTCTTGCAATTTTGCTATTTCTTTCTCAAAAGTTCCGGCAAGCCCACAGATTACGTATGGCCGAAACAATAGCTCCTAAAAGAGCAACACAGCTCCCTTTGCTCATGTGACTTGAGTACAGTGCTGGTTTTAGAATCTTTTCTGCAACATCTTGCCGCTCATGTGACATGATGTGTCTCTATATAAATTGGTATTACAGTAATTTACAGTACATTATTAAGTTTCAACTCTGGTTACACACGACGTGCCGGTGCAGTTTCGCACTTTCACCGGTCTCCTCTCCGAGGATCTCCACTGTTCCCACCTCTGGTGGCACAGGCCGAAACATCCCCAAGGGCGGCAGCTCTGCTGGCCCACGCAGCAGGAAGCGCTCCCGTAGCACCAAGTCCCCGACGGCAAAGTCTGCATCAGCCACCAACAGCTCCTCGACAGGTCGAGACTTGCAAAATGAGTGGGGAGTAGATCAAAGGTCTGTCGTGTTTGATGGCTGACCCTTCCTAGTTTGCAGGTGGTTCGGGTGGGTCTGGTAGTGTATAATGGAACCAAATATATGGCGGATGGTTGCAAATCCCCACTAAACCGTCCATTTGGGGGTGCCATGGTCGTAGCTCAAGTGGGTCACTTTGAGGGGATCAGCTATGATCAGTTGGACCGTGGAGAGCTGGATATTTTAGGGATTCATGGGGTCCAAGCAGTGATCTTCACACACATGAGCACAAATTGGTTGTCGGATGGGTTCTACATGGTTCTACCGTACTACCTTTCTTTTGCATGAAGCACATATATATATATATATGGTATATAAATAGATCACGTTTGTCGAATGAAGCCAACACCTGGACCTGGTTCTCAGGTCTGTTGGAATCTTGAACTGTCTGATGGGGCCACAGTGCCACAGTGTAGAAAATATCTTAGATTCAAGCTTGCAACTTTTTCAATATCCCTTGTCTGGCATGGTCCTTAAAACTGGCGGTAAACTACTACCCTGTCTGGCAGCTATGGAATGAATGCCCTTACTGTAGTTGAAATCATATTTGCTAGGAAGCTGCCAATGTGGTAGGATGATACAAAAACGATAAACACATTCAGCACAAGTTCTGATCAGTTCACCCTGGAACCATGTCCATGTCTCAAGTCCTATCCATTCTCGCCCTGCGCGTCACCCCTGCACGTCGGACGGGGTCCTCGACATCAGGCAGTCTCTCTAGACGGACCCCTTCAGGTGCATCACCGCGTGGGAGAGCTGCTGGCAGCATGGATCTTGTGGTGCCATGGAGAAGTTGGCAGGGACCGGATTGGCAGCTGGCTTGGTGAGATCTACACAATGCGAAACGAACAAGATTGAAACAGGCGGCACGCGGAAACACTTACAAAATACGAACATTCACAAACGAAATCACACTTCAACGATATTCAATGCAAATACTGGTGGCAGCGAGTTGCTGGCTCAATCTGAGGAGATCATTTTGTGGTATTATGAGCATCTATGAGCTGCTTAGGCTGTGCGGTGTGCGAATTTGTCTATGTTCTTTTTTGCTCCATTAGGCGGTCTTGAACCCAATGCTGTCTTGACTCCGACTCCACCAAACAACTTGCACAACAGAACCCCGTTCAGCGACATGACTCTTGGTATAGAAATCAAGGACTTTCTGAAAGACTCGCGAAGAACATATAAAAACACCGCATTGGACGTACCACCAAACTCCGTATTGAACGACCCACTTGAATAATTTTCTGCGTTGGGCTGCCTGAAGGACAGTGATGCGTTGGCCGCCAAGAAGCATCTGCACCTGGACAGAATTCGCCTGGCCGTGAGAAACCCTGACAACATCCCCGCTCTAAAGTTTCGCAAACATAACCAACCAGTCATGATTCTGCTGTGTGCGTGATTGTATATATATATATAAGAGTATCCCTCCTCACAGTAACAGTCGTTGAACACTTTCGCTACTAAACTTCACAGCAGTAGGAGCACCAGAAATGTCAAAAAAAACATCAGGCCACTTCAACACGATGTGATCTTTAATTGTGATCTGAAATTTGACTGTTGAACCCCGTGTCATCTCATCTCATTCATCTCATCTCACTCACTCCCATCATCTCTCTTTCAAGGCCCTCTCATCGCACTCACTCCCAGTCTTTTACCATGAATGCTGCCACCATGAACGCTGCTACCATGAATCAATGAATGCTGCTCCTTTGAAGATTCAAATGCATTGTGTTGCCTTGCCAGGGCCAACACTTATCTAGACTTATCTACAATCATGTGGCTGTTCCCGGGTATTGCTTTGCAAGTATGGCAGTATGGCGAAAGGGCTTGCAACTTGCATTTGTTGAGGTTATCAAGTAGCCAGCCTTTGTCATCCTTTGTTGTGCTTTGTTCGACCAACGTGCCATTTTCACTGAAAAGCTTTGCTCACAGTCACCTTCTGCAAAGCAGTCTGCGGGACCAAATGTAGTAAAGTTTGCAAACATCAATCTACTTCTGGCTCACGGATCTATTTTTCTGCACCTCTCATCTCTCTTTAACACTCCCCCCAGACTCCGGCATGGGCATGCGCATGAAACACTCACCTATATATAGGCTCACGGGCATTCTTTGCACTACTCTGCGTTGTCGAGAGTTGCTGCTGGCGCAGGTAGAACCATGGGCCGGAGGTGGCAGAATGCTAGATGAAAGAGTGGGACTCTGAAATGGGCGTGAAAACTGTTAACCAATTCTGTTCTCCCGGGTGTACGTCACAGCGACTCAAGTAAAATCTGTACACTTTGTATTCATCCAGGACCGACACTGAGGTGCCAAAAATCGAAGAACCTGCCAGGCACCAGAATAGCACAACTTCGGTGGCGGGAGGAGCACCAGAATAACACAACTTCGGTGGCGGGAGGAATAGCACAACTTCGGTGGCCGACCGAGCACCAGAATACACAACCTCGGTGGCGGAGGAACACCATGAATAGCGCAACTTCCAGCGCGCAATTCTCAATTTCTCGAGCCGGACATTCATTTACTTTAGTAAAGGGAAGGCGCCACCAGGCCGAAGGCCGGTCCGGACGTTTACTTTTGTAGGCGGACCTCTCCAGGCCAACCTGGCCCCAGCTGAAGCCAGCCACAGCCACAGCCCAACCAGACCTTTGCTCTAGCATCCTTGTTCCAGTAACAATGACTTCAGCTACCGAACCCTTTAACAGGTTCCAAAAGTTCATAATGCAGAGAGTCATGCTTGACCTCCAGTCACATAGAGGCCAGCCTTGTTCAGTACTTGAACTTAACTTGAACGCGAGCCTGTTTGAAACAACAGTAAGTGTGTTTTTGCCAAGGGCCACAGTGCACCGTAGGAGTGGACCACACGCTAGAGAGAGCTTAGAGAAAAGGCGGCTGCAGATTTAGAGTAAACTTGTCTAGTTTAGGGAGAGGTGAGTCTAAATATAGAAATCACCTTTTGGGGTCAAATTTTCTCATCTTTGTGCATGGTGTTAGTGTGCTGAGGGATGTTAATATATATATATATGTATATTACTATATGATATATAATCACAAGCATACATCCGACGTGTCTGCCTGAATATAGATCATGGTCTGCACCCATTCAGTATTATATTGTGTCCACATGTTGGATTCTGTTTTCACCAAACAGGGCCGGTGTCTAATCGAGGTGTTGCGCGGGCGGGTGCGGCTAGTTCGTTGCTATTTACAGTGCATTCATGCCTCTCGAAATCCCCGAAGCGCATTTCAACTGCTCGCAAAATCTGGGCGCTTGTCCTGACTGCGCTCTTGTTGTGGCGCCACGTGCATTTTCGGACATGGTGGTCAGGCAGGCGGAAGAGAAACCTCGTGCTTCGGTGGTCCACAGTCGACTTTTCGTGACAGGTGCAACGGATCAAAGCGGTTTTACTTCGACATGCAGATTTCTTGGAAAGTGCAGCGCTTTGGACATGGTGATGATCTTCGAGGCGCTCTGAATTCGTGACAGGTGACTTTTGGGCACGTGGCTCCTTCGCAGATTTCGTTGCAGGCGCAGTACTTTGTGGACCTTGAAGTGCAGATTTCGTGGCAGGCGCAGCACTTGGTGAACCTCGAAGTGCAAATTTCGTGGCAGGCGCAGCACTTGGTGAAACTCGAAGTGCAGATTTCGTCGCAGGTGCAGCACTTTGTGAACCTCAAGGTGCAGATTTCGTGGCAGGCGCAGCAGTTTGTGAACCTCGAGGCGCAGGCTGTGGGCCTCAAAGTGCAGGTTTCGTGGCAGGCGCAGCACTTTGTGCTCTCAGATGCTCACCCTCAATCTCACTCTCACTCCCACTCACTCTCTTACTCTCACTCACACTCACAGTCTTGCTCAATCGCTCACTCACTCAATCGCTCACTCGCTCACTCGCTCACTCGCTCGCTCGCTCACTCACTCACTCACTCACTCACTCACACTCTCCCTCTCACTCTCACACTCACACTCTCACAGTCACAGTCACGCTCACTCTCACACACTCATGCACACTCACTCACTCACTCACTCACTCACTCACTCACTCGCACACTCGCACACTCACTCGCACTCACAGTCTCATTCACAGTCTCACTCACCGTCTCACTCACAGTCTCACTCACAGTCTCACTCACAGTCTCACTCAC